AAACTATCAATGACACGAAACCTGTAACTCAGACAGCATTAGTGCCATGCTAAACTCATTCTATTACAAGACTGCAACCTTTAAATCTTTTTATTATAAACCTTCCATTTAGCACTCAGCATTTAATACAGGGTTTATAACACCATGATGTAGTTGTAAGCAGGTGTAAGGACAATTTAAACGTTTACACAAAGATATTCAAGAATAAAGTGCTTTCTTCGAATACTTGCATGCATCTCGTACTGATGATGAATGACCAGTATTTCTAGACCCATTTGCACATGGAAAAATCACTCATATTCTTGTGCTGTGATAAATATTGGCCCTTTTTTCCAATTTCTATATAAGGCCATTTTTAAGTTGTAGATTCATTTATATTTGTCAACAACTTTAAACCTTTCTGTAAGCCACATTAAATATTTATGCTATATAACGATGAAATAATACAAATGTATGATGTTTCATTGTGCCCATTATGGTTTTATATTTAGTGAATTAAGTGGACCTTGAGTTACAAACAGCAAATGCTTCATAACACACTGTAAGGCTGTGTTTGTGTGAATCATAATTAAATATGATTACAGCTCCCAGTTAAATCAGAGAAAAACCTATGCCTACCTACCACATCCCATGCACAGTGACAGCGACATCCCATAACAATGAGATACTGCCATCATTACATTCACACTGGAGGCTCGTCTCAGGTGTGAGGGCTTCCCTCATATGTGGTGGCGCCATAACATGACAAATGACTTTAATAGAAGCAGTCATATTTTAATCCGTGATCATTTGGTTATCCTGTGTGTGTGTGCATAATTTAACGACAAGAAACCTGCTGCCTGCCTGACACCTGCTTGTGTGTCAGCATGTGTGTTATTTGGAGTTGAACAACTAGTTGTGCGAGATAAATGTAAGAGGATTTTTCCCCTCAGGATTTTGGTTTCTCCTCATGTTGATCGCCTATGTTTTTATAAGAAAATCAACACATAATGATTCTTTTTATATAAAGATATCTCAGGGTAATTTTCAAAAAATGCTTTCTTTGAATTGGTATGTGCTCTTGTACTTGTAATGGATGCCCAGAATTTTCCTCATTTCAAGAATAATTTTCGCTTGGTAAATGGATGTTGCTTAAATTCTTGTGCCATGATAAATATTGGTCTTCCTCTAATTTCCTTACAGAAAATCAATAAAGTTTTATGATGCACTTTAGGTATTGTTGGTAATATTTTTTCTAGGAGTGAGCCGACTTAATGTAGCAGAAACGGCGGTGAATGAAAATGTTTTTCTGCAAGCAGAAGATGAAATACTCTGCGGCACACTGCTTACAAACAGGTAATGCATAGAAGCTCCTATTTCCTCCATTAGAAGATGGAAGCTGGGTATTAAAATAGATTGTTTACCAGTGGGACCTGTCACTGTCACTATTGGCCCACTTATCATCTCCTGATAGTGGCTGCTGGCCAGTCAGTGGATGTATTCTTGTGAGTTAGGTGTCATATTGTCTGGTGACTTTTTTTTCACACTGCACAATCAGACCATTGTGTTCATCTAGAGAAGTGAAAGCAGTAAATTCCAGCCGTTGATATTATATCACATGTTGAGATTCATTTACGCAACATACAAAATTCTGTGTAAACTTCTAACAGCAAGATGAGAAACACACTATCTAGCCAATTAAAATAGTTGAGTTTAATTCATTGTTTAAGTTTAAAATGACTAACTTTTCTTTTTCTTTTCTCACATTAACTAGTGTTTAAAAAAAGAAAAGCAAGAAATGACAAAGTCAGACATCTGGCCTACATCAGGGTGAACAGAAACAAGTGCACAATAAGGAAATACCCCGTCAGTGACAACTTTCCTAGTGCTTCCGAGAAATTATTATACATTTTCTCCAGCAAGATAACACTCATATCATTTCAATTCTCAGCCTCAATAAACCAAACGACCCTGAGCTAAGTGAAAATAAAAACAGGGAGTGATGTTCCAGGCAAGAAACCAATAAAACAGGATTTTGAGACACCATGTGTTTCTGTATTTCATAATCACACAGCTGTGAGGAACTTGATGTTTCTATCCCACCCCTCTGTTCCTTTTTACCACTCTGTTCATTAACAAGAATATTTAACATTTCCTGCCTACAGTAAGTCATCAAGTCATGTGATCAGATTTCCACAGACGCCTTGTATGCACTGAGGCTTAAGCTCCCTCTCTCACACGCATGCGTAATGCACATGGCGTGATGTCACGTGTCACTGTGGGTATCTGTAAAAAATTGTGGCGGAGCAGAACAAATCTCCATTGATAAAGTTCTTTATCTACTTAGAACAGCACAGGCATAGACATGGAGTTCACACACATGTGTAATATGTCCAGATAGGGTCTAAATGTCCAGCTGTTTGATCCTAATGTAAACCGACTGTGTCTCGAGTGACCACTTAGATTGCAAAGAGTGACAGCCAGAACCTGCTACAGCTTACGTTTCTGTATATACATATAAAATCTTATAGAAAGGCAGATTAGAGGGTAGAAGAGAATGCCTTTGTCTAGTATTGCCTTTAATCAGTAGTGACAGCTGTAACCCACGGTCACTGCAGCAAGGCCTTGATGCATGGGGCACCACCAGGTGAGCTATTCATGTGCCACATGCTACAACGCTGCATCCAGTTCTCCCTCAATACATCCACTGTACAGCGTACAACACTGTCGTACCGTATAAGGTTGCAAGGCACATACATGGCCTAAGAGGGAGAGAACCGTTTCAGGTAAGGCGTGTTCTATAAGTAAGGGGCGTATGTTTGTTAGCTGCTGTTCTCGTCGCCATTCAAGCAACTACTTTGTATTTAGAAATCTGACTGGTGGGCAGAGATCTCCAATTGTCTGCTATAGTGAGACTTCTCGTGATGTGTGGAAGCTGCCAAACATAAAACAGGAAACACACACACTTCCTCTCCTTCTCTCAGGCACACACCTAGAGAGGGGACTGAATGGCTATACCTCACCTCGATGGACTTTAAAACCCAGTGTTGTTTGACCTTTGAAATCAAATGGGGGTAAGCATTTGCATTTACACTACTATTACTGTATATGTCAGTGGTTCCAAACCTATTTTAGTCGGAACCCTGTATTCCCACAGTCCCAGCCCCCTACACACAAACACACTTAGGTCATGTGAGGGACCTTTGTGGCCTCTTTGTTGGGTCATGTGAGCGGGGGACTCAGTGCTGACCTGGTCCCACTTCAAAACAATGACACTGCCTCTAGCCTTCACTGATGACCAAATGACTGCATGTCCAACATAAATCTAGGGAAACTACTCTGATTATCTACAACAAATGAAAACCATATGTAAGCGTTCACCAAAATATAGTACAAGTAATATGTGTGATTCTAGGGGACAAGATAGAGTACTGCAGAGGTGGAGAAAGTGCATTAAGAAACTTGTCTCTTATCACTGAGTGTGTGTGTGTGGTAGGCGGACACAGGGAGGCTGGTGCGGCAGAGTAAATGATGGCAGTATTGATCTCCAATGCTCTTTTATAGCCCTGTCATGTCAGTTTAGCACCTTGGCAACACTGGCATTAGAGCTACATCAATACTGAACTCTGGCACTCAGCAAAAGACAGATAGAAAGAGACAGATACAGACAGGGAGAGGGACGACAAATAAACAGAAAGAAGTAAATACCAAGTGCAACATCAAGGTAAAGACCTGTCCGCTCTAACCTTAAGAGTTAGGTGAAGTGAGGACACAGAGACCAAAGTCATCCACAAGTTAAAGGAATATTTCACCATATGTTGTGTCAAACAGGCTTGTGGATTACACCGCATGAGCAGTTTTTTTAAACATGTTAGTTTCTTATTCTCAAATTCCGGTTTGATCTTTAGTGGCTTTATCAGTCACTGGGGAAGTGGTGGACAGTAGAAGGGGACATTTAGCTTCTACCACTTTATAAATGATTGCAAGTATGAAACACTGTTGAATGTAGACTCATCTCACCGTTTCAGCTATGCCCACATGTGCATTTGTTTCTGCCACTACTGTAACACGTAAGAAACCGGGTATTTGAGCCGCATTATACAGTAACTGCTACTCATTTGACAACACAGACAACTGCACACAAACAGAGCAATGAACAAAAGATCTGACTCTCTAAATTGATCCAGTGTCAAAAATAGGCTTGAATGGAGTCACGCTGGTCATTCTTGCACACAGTAGTGTGTTTCCATTATTTTGTCCACTTTCATTCATGCATGCTGCCGTTGTTCAGATTGATTAACTGACGCCTGGAGTTGGATAACATTCACTTGGAATAGATGGTTTTGAAATTGCCCTCTTCTGACGCTCCAATCCTGTTTGCTGATGCAGAAAATGAACCCTGTTTGCATTATCTGATAGTCACTAAGTATTGGATTTCATCTGCTATATTTATTACTACAACGACACACTTGTACTTTTATCAACCCGAAGGTTTAATTACCTTGTTTGGATCTGGGTGGATTAATGTTCAATTATTTTTTTTGTTTGTTTGTAGATATAAATGATATAACCTTACCTAACATACCGATACCAGGCCAAATACAACTACAAATACTTACATTTGGGTAAAGAGTACCGATATGAATACTTAACAATACAATGACTTTGACATGTTTCATTTTCATCAGCTGTCCCTCACTTTCGTTACAAATTAAACGTTTCTAATTTTGTTGTAATAGTTGCTTACAGTATCTCCAAACTGCTCAAATTGCTTCTCCTCCACCTACCTGCTCAACTCACTGCCATAAAGGGGTATCGGGTGCGGTAGTTTTAGACCCAATACCCGATAATACCCAATACTGGTATCGGTGCATCAATATAACTGAATGTGTTAGTAGTATAAGTAAGTAGTATAAACCCAAGACACTCATATGAAAACGAAGATATGAGAAGTAAAAAGCATAAATTCATATTTTTAAACCTGGTGTGTGTGTGTGTGTGTGTGTGTGTGTGTTACTGACCGGTCACATGAGCAGGCCACCAGTACGCAAAGCAGATTGTAGATGATGAAGGTGAAGATGACGGCCGTGATGGTGCCACGGGGGATGGAATAGCTGGGATTCTTCAGTTCACCTGGTAGATAAACTGGTTTACTATGCGTTTATACACAATACATCAGGTCACGCACACAAACAACCTGCCCTCACCCACCTGACATGTTGGAACCAGCCATGATGCCAGTGCAGCCATTAAACATAACAGCGAAAACAGTGGCAAAGGTCATCGTAGTTCCTGTTGTGTAATCCACGGTGTAGTCAGCTGTGGAAAGAGATAACAGCAGATAAGTCACTGTAGTTGTGCTTTTATCGCCGTCCTCAGTCTTCTAAGAGAAAGTTCAATTTAGTTTGTTGGCAGACAATCCTCTGTACCTGCTCGCCACCAAACTTCGTCATGTTGTACAGCATTTGAGAAAACCATTCCCTACACATCTTTCCTGTTGTTTACGGCATCTACTCAATCACAGGACGTTGGATGTATTAATAAAAAACTAATCTTCTTTATGGTTGTATGTGTACAACTGTAAATACATATCGTATCTACCAAAGAAACTTGTTATCACCATTCCCAAACCTGTCGTAACATGAATCATGACTCAAACTTGAACTTCTTTTATCAATAAATAATAGCACTTTTACCTGGGTTCCAACTAGAACTAAACTCCTAAAAAGTACTGTGCTTCATTGATTAAGTAATCTAACAACTAAGATTAAAAACATTTACATTTGCAAAGCCCTCAATACAACAGATTGATGCAATGAAACAGAGAAGCCGGAGAAGTAGATGGCACTGCGACTACTCTCAGGCCCCTTTGCTCCTTTAAAATGTAATTAGACGCATTCAAAAGCAATCATTACATTAGATGCTTTAATTGTGATAACCCTTTTCTCTGTGAAATTTGATTTGGCATGTCTCTGTGTGTTTGTGCTCCATTTAGTCAGATCTTGGGATTATTCAAAGCTTGAAAGTGTAATAGTTCTCACGTGTGCCTGAGTCCATGCCCAAGTTACAGAAATTAGTGATCATGTGCTTGGAAAATAAATCCCTGCAAACAGAGTGGAGTGCTTGGTTAGTTTACCGTGGACATTAAGAACTGGAGAGCATGTACAACATCTAATTACAAATCAATAAAAACATCCGTCCTCTGTCAACAGTGCAGGAAAAGATTATGTACTTTCAGAAAAATGGGGACACATAGGGTGGCAGCAGGAAAAAACATGCGCCACCACCGCAGAGGCTCTGGTTCCTTCACTAGCAGTGCTAATTTCAGCTGTTAATGGGTGGGAAGCCGGTGAGGGAACATGCATCATCATGATCATTCAGTGATGAATGATGCTGCATTGCTGCAGTAGTGACTCCTACAGTCACTGTAACCCCACTGTAATGGGGTTGGGCTATAGTGAGACAGCGTGACATGCAGCATATGTGGCTCCATCCTACCGTTGACTGCTGGTTAGCTTAACTTAGCACAAAGAGCTGCAGAGCTGAAGTTCACTGACTAATACATTATATCTTGTTTTATCTGTACAACAACCATAGTGAGAAACTGTACGTTGCGCCTATATTCTGGGGGTCATAGGACGGACTATTTCCTGGAGTCTGGTCATCACCTTGAGGGCACCAGGAAACTAGCAGATACTCCAGTAACTGAAGCCGCCTGTGCTAGACATTTGGCTCTGTGCACCCTCCCCTGGCAGCACTGAGGGTATGCTTCCAATGAGCAACAGTTTAATATGAAATGTATAAACCATTACTGTGCACTGGATCAAGTGACATATCTGTCATTAATAACTGTATTTGTTTTACATTTTCCATCCAAGGTAAAGCTGAGAAAAAAAATCCCCAAGTGCTGAAATGCTTTGTGCAGTGTGAGAGCTTAACTACGGCTTAATCTAGTCAAAGCCTTACATTGTGCATTAATTCAGTCAAACTAAGTTATTATTCTTATTATTTATTATTATGGAATGTAGTGGCCACAACTGATCCGTGTATTGCTTCATATCAGCCTACAAACCTACTGCTGTTGACCTCTGTCCTATATACAGTACACATTCAAGTTGAGCCTTATGTCAACATCTTCACCTCATCCAAGTCTTGTGTTTCAGTGCTGAGCTGACTGCTTTCTGAGAGCTCCAGGATCGAACCGAGCAACTGTTATTTTGCTCATTTAGGTTCACCACTGAATCAGGGCTAGCAAAGGAACTGTAGCATGTTTTTGGCCCGGCCTTGTCCACCTTACCCCACAGGTTCCCGAGCAGCGTGTCCAACTTGAAGCCGGTGAAGTTGGCTGTGGTGGGAAACACCGGGCCCGTTCCGTTGGCTGTCGGGTTGGCACTGCTGGGCAGGACGACGGTACGAGGGGGTACGGCAAAGAAGCTGACGAAGATGGTGCCCAGGACAAACATGACCACCAGGAAGATGAGGAAGGTGGCCTTTGCGTAGATGTGGGCGCCCACCAGGCAGACCAGCAGGCACAGAAGGGCGACGCCTGTGCCATAAAGAAGAGACCACCAGTAGCCTGACGGCAGGACCTGGTAGGCAGTGGTGGCTGCAGTCCCATCTACAGATGGTTATAAAAGATGTGTTCAAGAGTATAATGTAGCATGGTATTTTATAGCACATAGTGTAAATCTAAATTGGTACATTTAAAAAAAACCTTGAGAGACACAAACAGCTTTACACAGGAATAAACAATAATAGTTTATGCCTTCAATCTAACTGCAACAGAAGACCATTATTTACCCAGGGAACATTGCCTGAGCTTTATGCTCTTTTCTGGAAACTTCCTTGTTTAAAGTCATACAGTTCTACTCGTTCACACCTCAGATCTTCTCAGTATTTTACCAAAGTCGGTTACTGAACCCGGAAAGCATTTCTTATGGATGGATGAAGGAACATAACACCCTGTAGATGACCTACAGTAAGTAATTCAGAAAGCTAATGAAGTGAGTTACAATCATACTCGTGTGTGTGTGTGTGTGTGTGTGTAACTGTCATTGTTGTGTCTCTTTTTCATAATGTAAATAAAATAAATCATCTTTAAACTAATACCAAGAGGAATGCTGACTCACTCACCTTCTGGCACTCCAAAGGTGGCCACAATGGCTTCAACCAGACCCAGCACAAAGAGAGCGCAGCCACACACATTGGCAAAGAAGAACATGATGCCGATGCTGCCACCAAATTCTGGCCCCAACGCTCGACTTATCATGTCTGAGTGAAGTTAAGGCAAAGTGTGCTTGTTTGTTGGATACACTGTAAAAGGTGGTTATCTTAGTCTAGCATAAAGACTGGAAACTGGGGGAACCGGCTAGCCACTATATAACCCACAACCACAACGTGTGGTTTCAATACTTTACTTTTTGTACAGATTTAACAAATGAGATATAACATGTTAATTAGTGAGCTTCAGAGGTGCTGGTAGGTGGATTTTCTTTCACCTTTGGCCAGAACCAAGCTTGTTCTCTCCTGTTCCCCATTTTTGTGCTAAGCTAACTGCCTCCTGGCTGGAACTTTATATCCAATAGGCAGACATAAGAGAGGTATCAATGTTTTACTCTATCCATCGTCTCTCTATAATACAGTGAATAGGCATATTTCCCAAAATGTCAAACTATTCATCTAAGAGCACTTTAGGGCGAATTACTAGGGCTGCACAATTAATCAGAATATTCTAATATATATATATATATATATATATATAATATCTAAACAATAACAATGATATTTAGTCATAACAAAGTTCCACCAAGCATATAATAGTGTGTGTACAAATAAAAACATAGATTACTTTAAACCACTCCCTGCTCATGACTGCAACAACTGAATGCCAAGGAGACAAAGCTGTTAACTGTACGTTTGTCTAAATGTACCGTACATGTTCATTCATGAAAATAGATGGAGACGGCGTGTGTTGACAAACAAACAGCACTGATTGGGGTCATTTAGCAAATTCCTGGCAGCAAAACATGCTGGCCTCTATCTAAAATAGCAGTGTCCTATAGTGAAGTTAATAAACATATCAGTCCCCATTCAGTGTCACACACAATGCTACATCTGCTTCACTAAACACAATGCTAGAATGGGAACAGTCTGTCTTTGTTTGTTTGCATAGCAAGGAGCTCTACTGCATGTGCTCTTGATATCATGACCATTGACAATGTTAATGAAACTACGGTGCAAATGTCATGTGATGGTGTGTGTGTGTGTGTGTGTGTGTGTGTGTGTGTGTGTGTGTGTGTGTGTGTGTGTGTGTAAGAGGATACAATAGGCTCCCCCGGCATCCAGGGCTCCATTGGTGGAGATGGCACAGACTGACAGCACGGTCATGCAGATGATGAAGTAGGCCACCAGGAACATGGCAATAGCTTGGTAAAGTCCAGACTGTCCCACCACGAAGCCTAGTCAGACAAAACACAAACAGAATCAGGCAAACTGCTCAGCACCTGATCAGCTGGTCGAAAGCAAAACCTGGCAGCAAAGTGAGTGGGGGTGAAGAGGGAAGTTAAACTTTCCCAGGAAAAACCCACACACAGTACAGAGGATGTGGGCACACAATGTAGCATGAGACTCGTGTTATGACACACTGTTACATAATCAGATCAAGGCAACTGAGTGTGTATGATATATACATACATACATTTTAGAATAATTGTGCTTGTAGTTTATGATGAAAACATGCCTGAAAATCTTTTCAGAAGTCAAAATGAAAGTACACATGGCACAATGACTCATCCCAACATTCCATCCTGTCTAAAATTGAAACTGGATTCACATGTTGAAAATGATTCCAGTTTCCCCTCAACTGTAATGTTGACATCTGTAGTTCAAATCATCTGTACCAGAAAATAAATTCCTTGGTTTAACGAAGAGAAAAAAAGGAATCTGTTCGTATACAGCAGCTCGGAGTAAAACTTTGATCTTAGAATTAAGAATAAGCTCTATGCATGAATGTTTTCAGACTTGGTTTCAACTCCTTAAATATAGAGAGCTCCTGAATCAGCTAGCAGTGACCAGCAGAGGAAGCTTTTATATTTTATATAGAAGTGTATGATGATAGACTGATAAGAGACAAGCTCTGTCCCAATACCCACACCTCCAATACAATATGAAAACGTTCACGATTCAGCATGAATACAATCATATGTTTACACATTGCAGTGCTTCCTCCCTTATATTCACATTAACCATATACTAATAATAAAACGTTAAACACGTTATATTTCACACTTTAGCTACTATAATCATGAGTATTCTGGTGAGTGTGGAAGATGGTTGGGAAATGTTTCACTTTTAGGTTGAACCCAAAAACAAGTATCACTTTAAATAATCCTCTATATCCTAACTTATACAGTCCAATACAACAGTCCCACAATAAATCCATCGTTCATGTGGGTAGGACGGTAGGTTGGTCAAACCTGTTTCAGAGAGGGTTTAACTGTACAGGCGTTTTGGAGGCTGTGGTTTGCAATGCTGTTGAATTAGTAACTTTTAGCAGTGGGGCTCCTCAGTGAGGGTGGAAATTGATTTTATTTTATTGAAGCCAATGCTCCTATCGATTCTGTTTATCGGGCAGATTATTTACAGGCTCCATTTCTGCATAGAAAAAGTATTCCTACACAGAAACAGTAGAACTAGGCCTGTTTGTGGCTCAGATGTGCACAAGTTCCATTGTTTAACTGCGGTTTAATTTGGAACCGGTTCTGGATTCCCCTCCCTGGCACTAAACACAGGATATTTACACTCTGTAACGGATGTGCTGCTAAGCTGGGAAGCAGTAGCGCTCATGCGTAGAGTCAAATACGTGGCATTCCTGGAATTTTAGCCCATGGTGCACAGAAAGATGTTTCAGCATATTGCTGGTGTTTCCAACCTTACTGGAAACAACCATTTTACCAACATTACAACTAGCACTGTTGTTATCTTTCTTTGTGAAATCAACGCACGCTTTGGACCATTTCTTCCTCTCCGCCATGACACTTTCTTGTTGCAAATTTGTAGCAACGTAGATGTGATGTCAAACAGGAATTTGACATCACTGTTTCACAAAATGAAACTCTCAGAAAAACATGCCGGCATCGATAAAAGGAATTAACTAGCTCAGAGGCCTACAATTGCAATGATTCAGACAATTGGAATCGGTCTCAGCAGGAACCGGTTCTTGATTTCCATCCCTACTCATCACTGGTGACTGACAGCAGCGTTGTCACTCAGCCGAGGTTCACATTATATCACTTCCTCATTAAAAGCTTGTTGAAAGACCACAAAATCCACAGAAACAATCACAATCTGATAACAGCGCTCAGTAACGTAACATTAGTTCTTCGTGGTTCTCTCCTGAAACTTCATTGGATGCTGTCAGATTAATACAGAAATGAATTGATTCGTGGCAAACTTTTTAAATAACATACTTTTTCATTTTTGGACTCTGAGGCAGGTATCAAGTATTTTCAAGTCCAAGTGAAGGTACAAGTCATTGGTGTTACAGCCCAGGTCGAGTGGCAAGTCTTTTTTGATTTTGTCAACTCAAGTCCAAGTCATGTGACTCCAGTCCACAACTCACAAGTAATTTAGCGTCACCATAGACAGCTGTAGAGTCACACAGGAGTGCTATTTGCATCTATAAAATGTGATGGTTTGCCTTGTTGCATTGCTAATTGTAGTCCTTATTTAACAGCACTTAGGAGTCACTGCAATCTGCACTTAAAGGTCCAGTGTGTAACATCAGAAATTGAATATAATTTTCATGGTTTTCATTAGTGTATAATCACCTGAATATAAGAATCCTTGTGTTTTTGTTACCTTAGAGTTAACTGTTTTTATCTACAAAGGGAGCGGGTCGACTTTCATCGAGTCTGGCATGTTTCTACAGTAGCCCAAAACGGACAAACCAAACACTGGCTCTTTTGCTTTTTTTCCAGGTGTTTCACAGCCCCCGTAGTTTTCCTACACACTTGGAGGGACAGTAGTATTCAGTTGGTTGTAATCTGAAACTTCAGCGCTAGATACCACAAAATCCTACACACTGGTCCTTTAAAAAAATATAATTCAGACTTTGTTAAAAGTTACTGTCAGCTTCTTCACACAGAGCTTCAAAGTCCTAGTTTTTATGAGGAGTTTTATGACTCATAAGTCAAAGTTTCTGATCCAAATCAAGAACAGAATTTTACAGTTTTCTATCCTGCCAATGCTAAAAAAAAAACTTCATAACATAAAATGTGCAAAGACATTTTGTACAAAAACTAGTTCAGATGCTAGCAACAGTTGATTAAAATAACTCACATCTTCTTAAGCAAAGTCATGTGCATCAAATCAAAGTGTGGGAGAAGATATTAGTGCTACTTTACACCATGGTACACACATTTTAAACCAGTTTCCACTGTTGTGTTTGACTGTATTTATGTTTGTGTACTCAATGGCTGTGACTAACTGCATAATGCTGCTGTTTTCATGGTCTGCTTTTTATCTGTGTGGGTGTCACATGATCAATAAGCACCAGAACATAAATCCCAGGGAAAAGGCAAGAAGGCAGCAGGCACAGTGTTCAGTTCATATATGTAGGATAATTCCTTAGCTAGATGGGAGTTTTAAGAAAATGTTGATATGATGAATGTTTTGATTTAAATATAAAAATATAATTTGTTTTTCTGGGTAAACCTGGGTAGGACATGTTAGGCCATGTGTGACTTTAAAGATATGTTATCCAACAACACATAGCTGATAACTCGACAATAGTTTCACATCCACAATGTAACCACTGTTAGTTCCTGTGTAGACATGTTACAGTGTGAGAATAGTAGTCTAAACTTCTACACAGACTGCTACTATGTGTGTCCATGTGAGTCTGTGCGTGTGTGTGTGTGTGTGTGTGTGTGTGTGTGTGTGTGTGTGTGTGTGTGTGTGTGTGTGCCCACTGCACAGCAGCTGACATCTCATGAGACTGGGGGGGGCAGGGGAGGGGGCAAAAAGAGAGAGCGTTAGAAAACAACCTGGATGTACAACGTAGAGAAAAACGCAGAAGTACACCACCCAATAACCGGAACTGAGATAAAAGAGAAGAGAAGATGATCTCAGTTGTCAGTGGCCTCTTTCTTATGCTTCGACAGCAGAAATGGGACACTGTGGACTGCATGACATGTGATCACTAGCTTCACACCTGCATTTTTTACAGCAACTTTTACCCTCTCGACATAGAACAAAATCGCTCATTTCAGCTGTTTTAGATATTTTATTTAAACTTACACAAAGTTAGGCCTACTCAAAATTAAAAAAACAGAAATCCTTCCTTTAAGTGAAACCAACCTACAGTTGCCACGATAAGACTTTGAAGTATTTGACTTGTAGATATATGTAGGTTACACTTTCCTACCGATATTATTACTTTGAGGAAAATGTTACTACTAATCTATTTTGTATAACTTAAATATTGAAAGGCTGAGAGTCTGAAGCTCACCCCTCCTGCCAGAGTGGAACCCATCTGACAGGTCAAATCAAGAAATAGGTCCAGCTGTTTTCAAAAACTTTACATTTTTGCAGTGAACAAACTTTTGTTGAGATTGGAACCATTTTGCAATTGAACCTGGGTTATGCATAACCCTCCAAACTAAAGAAAAGGCTGGTCAAACATTTTAATGTTACCCAATAAATGTAAATAAGGAGGGAAAAGCTCGCCAGCTGACTGGGGGAATTCATCCACCTTGCAGGTTACATATAAAACTGTGTGAGATGTAGAGCTGATTGTAATGACACAATACAAATCAATACATTATTTTGCATATAAGATTAATTTTAGTCAACTCCGATTTGGGCAACTCATAAAACTAGTGGTGCTGGACCAGTTCTCACACTGGTACCACAGGGATGAAAGAGGTCCAAAACAGAAATAAGACTCTGGTTTTAAGTGCAGGTTTGTATGAAATCTGAAGTGACTGCTTCAAAGCTTCAAAGCTTTAATCTCCTTTGTGAGCATAGCTAAATAAATTAGGTAATATCAAATTACAAGGAATAAAGGCTTTCAAGGGATCATATCAGTTTGAATGTTATCAAGCACAAATTTATTTCAGTAAAATCAACTTATTGAATTGGTTCACACTGCTCACTTGTGCGCTCGTTGTTACTTAGATAGAAGCACATTTAACACTTTAAGAGTTGATATGACTGAGACAATCCAAATATGATGACCGGCTAGAATACCGAATTCACCAGTGGCCCTAACAAAGCCGAGGTAGTGTTATATACTATATGTAGGCTACCTTTAGTGATACGCAAGGCAACATTAAAATCTCTACATTTTGAATGGGGTTTGGCGCACCTCTGTCGTTTAGACGACCCAAAACAGTGTGCAGTGATTTAAGAGGACGTCTGTCATCATCAGCACTCACCTATTCTGAGGAACACTACCACGCTGAACATTGACAGCAAGGTGGGGATGACCACACCGAAGAAGATGGAGAGTTTCTTGGGTTGCCGCTGCTGCGTAGACCTCTGCCTGGGGCTGCCCGGGTGCTGCTCCGGTGCCTGCCCGGCCGGAGGTGGCCGCGGCTCGGATTCATTGACGCTGGTGGAGAGGCGGTAGTGGAGAAGAGGAGTCCGCTCTGTCATAGTGAAAGCTGCCTCTGCACAAGCTTCACAACTTCATAGAGCGCTCTGGGTAATTTCAGAGCCAGCTGTCTGTCCAGCTTTGCTCCGGAAATCTGACAGACTGTTCCGACGACTGTTTCCGAGACGTTAACGAACGTTTCCAAGGTTTTTGTCGGAAGTTAGTGACGCGTCCCGATTGCCGACTGGCTCCCTGGCTACATAGCCGAGGAGGAAATAAGTTCTTTCGCTATCAGTAAAAACAACATGGTGGACGTAGACATTACAATGAGCAGTCCTGACATGTAGTAGCTGTTAACAACAGCTTAAAAAAAAACCACAGCCCATGACCAGCCACTGTAGCTTTGTATAGTTTTGTAGAACTAACACTGAATAGAATATCATGTGATGTACCAACGTTAATCACCTCATGTATAACTTCCGGTTTTAACTGTCAAAATAAAAGCTACGGACAAGCTAGAACAATGCTTCTAAAAAGTCCTAAAGTCGCAGAGCAAGTTTCTGGTGCCAAGTCAGTCAGAATAATTCACCAAGAGAAACCAGAGAAATGCTAGTGCTTGAGACACAGTACTAAAATACACGAAATACTGCCTTGTTTTTAAAAATAAATCCTGCTATTTCCGGTTTTGTCCCGCCTGTGAGTGGGTAGCTTCACAAGTCCTTCTAACGCTGTGATTTCCAGCCTGTTGCTTTCGGTCATATGATCAGGGTGGCTGGGCCAATCAGAGCACTGCATTCTTCCGACCACCTGCTGATGGGAGACGCATCCAGATAAGCAGTTAAAATCTGGAACTTGTTTTCACTTGAAAGAGAAAAGTTTAAATGACGTTTTAACACTTCATAGGCACACGAAATATTAAATGTAGGTTCATAATTATGGATAGCCTACATGCATTATATTTGTGTAGCACTGACAGTGTAGTATATGGTACATAAGTGTACTCAAACGGCCACTGTAAAAGAAAATAGTCACTAGGCTGTTTCTTTTTGGCTGCAGTGTCACCTTGCACGACTTAATAATGGCCTATGAAAATACAGTGCAAACCAAAAATGTTCCTCATCTTGTTTTACTTCTGTATTCTCAAATAATGACGCAACGCCTGTTCACCGTCGATGATTTTATTTTGAAAGTTATGACTGGTTTAATATTAATGATAAAAGTGACCCAAATAATACAGAGTAGTGCAATAGTGTAATGCCCCTCCCAAACTGCCTAAATCCTCACCAGCTAATAAATAATACATTAACATACATAACAGAGTCGGACTAGCAGAGTCTGGACGTCTTGTCCAGACACTACAGTGATTTAGCAAGAATTACATATTATTAAAAAATATATTGTTATACTAATACATACATATTATATATACATAGTGATACATATATTCAATATAGTAAATGCATACCTACAATACCTACAGACAAATATACTCAACATACATTACACAATGTCAAACTGACATTTCCTAAGATCTCTAATAAAACATGATGAACTTAAAGATGTATTCAGTGATTTCACAACATCTTCAGTCCACAGTTGACTTTCACATCATGAACAAGGAGCTTGGGAAATGTTTCCATTTGCATTAACAAATGCACCAAGTATATCATAACTGTATCTGTTTCATTTTCTGAATTTCTTATATGAGTTGCGTTTTCTTCCTTCTTTTCCTCCTGTCTTTTGTGAAAGATGATCTGTTAAAAATGTTAAAGTTTTCCTGCAAGCCATGGCTTAGGAATGTACAGGATTACATTTAGCAGGCCTTCCACAGTCTGAGTTGCCCATTTTCCTTCATATGGGCTGATGATTGCAGCTGCAATTCCCATACTCACCCACAGATGGTGCTACAGTTACAGTTTCAAAACAAGTCATTCCAGTTTCCCTTCAAAGACCCTGAACCCCTATTCCTGGAAACGAAAACACTTGGTTGTATATTATTTTTCATTAACCTCTTTTCATGCGGTTATAGTCTACTGCATATTTTCAATCTAAAACAGGCACACATTACTATCAATTCCTTCACAATAAAAACACAATAAGTCCCAAAAATGTTTAGTTAAGCGGCTCAAGTTAATTGATTAGTCTGTTATACCTAGTAAAAAGTACTTAATCTAGAAGGTTTTTTAACTCACAAAATTTACTGTGATCTAATCAGTTTCAAGATGTTTATGAGTTAATGTAATTTATTGCATTACAGTGTAAAAAGTCACTTACACACTTGATAAACGCCCTAGTGTTTCTTTCTTTTACGACGTTCAGTTTCAAGTGGTCTTCTTGCCTTTTTAGAAACCTTTCCACAGACTCCTTTGTGTGTTTTTCTGATATTCAACTCAAAACTATTGCTACAGCCTTTAGCCTTTACTGGTTGATGCATTTATCCATCTTTGTTTCCAGATAACCAGAAACCCACAGATAATTTCCATGATCACATCCTCAAATCCAATCCCAGTCCTTTCTCCTTGGGTCTTCATCAGCATGACAGACCCTCTCAGTCCACAATGTGCTTTTCCTCCCTAGATATCTAGGTTGCATCTGTTGCATCTTGGATCAGGTCTCAGGTAACACAGCTCAGCAGCACAAACAAGCTACTTTCTATTTATTAGCCATAAGATCCATTGGTAGTGGTTGTACTACCTGTCTTGGACATCAGTAACAAAGCGTTTCAGTTTTCCCTTGATTAGGTTTTTGAACTCTTTCAGCAAGTTGTTCAGGCTGGTTTCCCTGGAACAGTTCTGTACTGCATGATGAGACTGCGTCACCGTGTCACTCTGTAAGGGCCCAAAAGTGGATTTAATTAAATATACACATAAACAGCATTAAACAGGGTTTGACAAACATTTCAGAATCAATACAGACATCTCTGAATACAGGCTTCCAATAGCATGTCTGTATATATCGTTAGCTTACTTTCTTACATTGTAACATTTGTGAATATATCAATTAGGGTTCAGTAAGTTCAGTCAGTGTTTAGAAATGTCTTATTGTTATAAATATACTTTAATTGTTCTTTGTTAGTGGATCTTTTTTGTATGTTTATGTATAATATGTTTACAACAATGTATGTTTTGTAGCCACACAGTGTTTTTTGAGGTATTCACGTTCAAGTGTATCACCTGTATCTGATGGCGTTCCACGATCATCATATAATTCAAGATTTGATGCTTCAGGACTTCTAACACGTCCTGACATTGTGATGTGTTCTGGTTCATCACCTTCTCCATTGCGTCATGAAACATCCGGAAGGTTTCAACCACCTCTGCATGCTTCTGCTGGAGCTGGACACACACACACAAACTGTTACAGCTGGTTTAAAAAGTATTTTGCTAATATCCTCACATTGATAATGCTAGCGTGTTGCATGTCGGTTTAGTGTGTAAGCATGCAAACATCTGCTCCATAATGAGAACTGATGAGAACGCCATTCGTTTTGCAGGCATTTGGTCATAAACCAAAGTATTTGACAGAATTTAAATTTGACAAGATGGCACTAGATTAAAAACATCAGGTGATCAAAGTTATTACAATTTATCCTTAGGGACGATGAATATTACAAGCACTCTATTTAATAATTGTTGAGATATTTCAATAAAGGATTAAAAAGTCAACCTCATGGGGGTGCTGGAGGAAAAGTCAGCAGGATCCATTGTCTGTGAACCATGAATGTCTGTACCAAAGTTTGTACCAATGTATGTAGATGTTGAGACATTTAACATTAGTGAAAACTTGATCTACACGTGGCGCTATAGGAAAGGTCAGAGGATCGCCAAAATTGCTAAAATGTATCCTCTAGTGACGCTGAATAGCTGTTTTCAGAATTTCATGGTTATTCATGTAACAGTTGTAAGTGTATTGCTCTCTGAACCACGTGGCGATAGAGGTAAAGTCAGAGGATTACCATCAAGATTCATTCTCTTTGGAGCCGGTGCAGACTTTTATCTGATGGTTGTCAAGATATTTCGGTCGGGGCCAAACTGGTGGACCAGTAAACCAGCTGACTGACATGGTGGTTCATTTAGATTTACCAAACCTCATAAATGAAAGTTCTTACTCTCACCATGATCCTGTTGCTATTGTTGTAACTGCTCCAATTCAACATAGCCATCTGTTTGAAGAGGTTCCACTCTTGTAAAGTTATCTTAGATGTAATCTTTCCCCAGCATGAACTAGGTATTCCAAGGAATACCATTCAAAAAGGCTCATTCAACATGAATAGGGAGAGGCTCCAGGCCCCCATGACCCTGCATGTCTGTGATAACCCGGTGACAGATGGATTGAAAAATGAATTAATATATTTACACAATGGTCCTTTTGATAGACTTTATATCTGATTCTGTTTAGGACCATTTTCATAACTCTATACCAATATTTGAAGGGCGTGCCTTAACTGTTGATTTAACAGTTGGCTGCAAGTTAGTATTTTGTCACTTTGACAAATTAGTATAAACATGAGAGCTTGATCTACAACCCTGTTGGCACAATGGTGCTAGTACTAAGCTTACCTGTGGGAACCTTTTCATCATTCAGTTTCATAATAGAGGTTTGAAGGAAGTGCAGTGACAACTATAATATAGATTATTAATGGAATTTGTCTCTCATCTTCCCCTCAGGACAAACTGTAATAACCTTTGTAATGAATTAAATACACAGTTGTGGAAGTTCTTCCTATTATAATGGTTTTAAAAATGGCAAACATTATGCAAAAATCTCAATAATATGGTAATTCCCTGCTACATCAGTATCATTCTAAAGTGTTTGCTTGTGCATGATTATTCTTGCACAGAGTACCACATGAGACCTGTATACTTAAAGCAATGCTTTGAGCATTATTTAGATTTAAAAGGTGCCTTTTCTGAGGCAAACATGCATACATTATCATCCATTCTCTTTAAATTTAGATGTTGTTTCTCTTGGTGGAAAATGTACTTCTGTAACTAGACTGTTGCTTTATCCTCGGCACTCTGCTGGCCCACTGAATGAAGCCTAATTCACAATTTACGGTAGCAGCTTTTTAATAAAAGATGAGCAGTGATTGCTTCTTAAACTACAATGTTGTTACAGGTAAAATGCAACCCAAAGTAGCATATTATTGCGCTGCAAAGCAAGGAAGAGCACGTCCTCTCAGTGCACAGTTTTCTGTATTCATTGATAAGTGGTGGAAGAAGAAAGAAGAGGGACATCAAAACCCGCTCATACGCTTTGTTGTTGCCAGAGTTATGGATGACAGACAAGCGAAAGTTGTGTGTACGTGCTTCAGTCAGGTGTTACTCACAGTTTTGTTTGTCCATTCTTCTGAGTTCACTGAGACACATGGTAGCTGAACAGGAGTGAACCAAGTGCAGTCCGTCTGAGTACATAACCAACGTTTCGTCACACACAGACATTTGCTCGTAAAGAGTGCACATTTATTAGAAAAGCTTTGGTGATATAAATTTAGATATTAATGCGTAATTCCTCACCGAGACTTTTATCGCCTCAATCCTTTCTGCCATGATTTTCCCTGCGGTTAACCAAAAGTCACTGGGTCTGGCCTGGACAAGAAGATGGGAGGAAATCACCCCTATCAGCAGCAGCAGGAGCCCTGGAGGAGCACACAGCAGTGATGACTGACGAGTTGCCATCTAGTAATTTTTTGCTGCAGCAACAGCAAAGAGGAGCTTATATCCCCTCCCATTTTATTGTACCCGGTCCAAATCCTGTTTAGTGAAGCACAGCAGTGCATCTCATGTTAGCTATTTCCATATCTTTCATCTTGACAAAATCCCACACACAAGTTTTGCCCTGACAAGTAGCTCTGACTACTTCTAAATATAAACATATAATATGCCCACATAATCAGTCATTTGTACAGACGTTTAAGAATGAAAGTTGGAATTGAATGAAAGTCAACAACTACTTTAGATAATATGAGGTCATATATGAGTCACTCTGTGCTCCTCATAAAATGTGGGGAATATCTTAATAGACTGACGCATTACATCACAGCCGTAGTATGAACATGATCAACATGTCTTGTTTGAATATCCAGATGTCACATTTACACCACTCTAAGTATGTAAACCACAGAGACACCAGATGTCCTCCTTTGGAAATAAGTGCATGAGTCCAAGCAGTCTACTTACAACTATAAGCCATAACCCGTTCCTGGGTGCATGGTGTCCCTTAGCTGTGGCCTGTCAACCTGCATCCTTCTTCCATTCAGCCTCATAAAAACAAGCTGAGAACGCAGAGAAGTCCTGAGACAGGTCCCAGGTCTAGTAAGATCTCCATTCAGCAGCTTTCATTTTGAATAGTGTGACAACGGGTAGGTAAACTGTGGTGTTAAGAGTACAGTGACTCAGTGTGCTCTCAGGAAACCATGACTTTTAGAACTAGTGGGCTTTGTATTTGATTTACCAACCAAAGTTAATGTTTGACAGTGGATCCTCAACGCAAACAAGTCAAGACAGCATTGTGTAGACCCAGACAGTACTAACCCAATTATGACATGCTGATATAGACGTGTAGGACTCATTGTCATAATGTTTTTGATAAGTGTAGTTTATATTTGTTGATTCATCTGTCACATACAGTATGTGTATCTTTGTTCTGAACTTTTCTCTGAACAGGGTTCATTCCTCATCACAGAAAACAAGTTTGATTTGGCAATTTTACACTTGCTGAAACTTTAACTATATCCTGACAGTAGAACACGAGACAGATCATCTGTGAATAAATCAGGTTCCTCTGATTCGTTCTAGTGCTCCTAATGGCATTTGCAAGAATCCACTAGGCCTGAACAAAAACAGCCAATCAGAGCAGAGAAAGATTGTTGAGTCTCATTCCCAAGGCATCAAATGCAGATGCTTTGGGACTCTTTGAATGAGACTCTTCAATTCTTCAAAAAATGAAATTCTTTTATTTGCTTTTAAATCCCTGAATGGTCTTGCACCGCCCTACCCCTCTGAGCTTCTACACCCCTATATACCCGCCCGCTCTCTCAGGTCAGATGATCAGCTGCTCCTGAGTGTGCCTAAAACTAAGCGGAAGCTCAGAGGGGACCGTGCCTTTGCTGTGTCGGCTCCTAAATTATGGAATGATCTGCCTCTGCATGTTAAACAGGCCTCTTCTCTGTCTGTTTTTAAATCTCTTCTTAAAACCCATCTCTTCTCTGTGGCCTTTGACACCTAGTAAGATTCCGACTGTATTGACTTGATTTCATTTCTTATTTTGATTGCTTTTTATTGCGTGGCTATTATTGTTACTCATGTTTCATGTCTTTTAATTTATTGTTGTATTTTAATTAATAATGTAATTTTGCACCTCTTGTGAGCTGTTATGTCTTTTATTTATTCTTCTGTACAGCACTTTGGTCAACTTTGGTTGTTTTAAAGTGCTTAACAAATAAAGTTGGATTGGATTGGATCCAATATTTCCAATCCTCCAACCCAAAACATGTTTAAATCTTTCTTGGTTCTTATTGGTTGTTTTTGTCCAGGCCCGGTGGATTCTTGCAAATGCCATTAGAAGCAAAGGAAAAATCAGAGGAACCTGATTTAAATAAAACGAACAGATTTTATATCTCATGTACTACTTCCAGGATACAGTGAAAATGTCAGCAAATATGACAAAAAGTTAGTTTTATAAAAGTTACCCACTGCAGCTTTAAGCCAAGGCAATTTTATATGAATACAGTGAAAAATCACGGGATGTTGTATTGATGCAGATTAGAAGTGGCAGCAGGAAAACTACAATAACTAACTACAAATATCAATTATATTATGTATTACTACCTTAAATGCTTAATCAACAATTAGGCTACTTAAGTTTACACATCCAGCTGACAGGGAGCAACATTAGCATTCATTTGGCATCTGGTTTTTGGCCACCTTATACATTTAAGTTGGATATTAACTTTGCTTTTAACTCCATTTTGATCTCCACCAACTGTCTCAGCCAGAGAGAAATAACAATGAGGATAATATTACGTTAAACACAGGAACCCAAAAGCAGATCACATTCTCGGTTGGTACGATTCCAAATGACAGGCTTTACTTGAAATTTGGGGAATGAAATGGTGAGGTGTGGCTCCTGCTATGGTGAGACTGTATGGTTAGGCCCTAGGCAGAGTGGGAGGCAGGAAGCTGCGGGCAGGTAGCTACAGCGAAGGGTATAATCCTGAGACGCGGGGAAAACAAGGCTGAAGTCTGTAGCAAAAAACACTTCTCTTAAAAGCTCCAACTTGGCCTAGAAGGTTACTCCCAGGTTTGTAGATGCAACGATCTGGCAGACAGTGGATGGAGAACCGGGGTTTAAATACTGCAGGGCTGATGAGTTGATGGCTGGCAGGTTTGAGCGGTCAGACAGGTGAGCAAGTAATCACGGAGAGTGGGAGGAGTCTAAACACAGACACAGGGGAACCAAGGAGGACAATTCTACTGACTATAACAGATAATGATAGCGTGAGATTTGGATAGGATCCAAACATTATAATTGCATTTTGCAGGTTTGAACTAGGGTGACTACTTTGGAAAAAACAATGAGCTGCTCTTGTTATGGAGCCATAAGATCCCTTCAGAGAGCCATGATTCCCTTCACTAGACAGCAATGCCACTGTCCACCCCATGATCACAGAACAACTAGACAACAACGACTAGACTAAATATGTGTGCTGTCAGAACAATTTGAAAAAAGCTCTAATCTAACAATTCTAAACAAATATGGTCCCAAGAAATGTAATGTTCAATTGTGCCTACAACTGCATCTGTGTAGTACAATGCAAAATTTTTTATTTTAAAATCACTACGGTAAAAACAGTTCTGAGATGCTGCCAAACTTCCATGGTATAATGTTGCGAAACACTATGACAACACAATTGTTGCTCCAAGGAATTCCTGTGACGCAGAACAAACACTAAGCCAGAGGGGGTTCAGGGTGTGCAAGGAGGAGTCTATGCATGTCATTTTTTCAAACTAATACCTACAACTGTCCTTGCATGATCTGCCCAGGAAGTGCTATGTTTGTTTTTTTACCATTGATAGTATTTGAAAGCCCTCCCTACACTGACCTTAGATGTGCCCCGTACATTGTAGACAAGGCAAGGAGACAATGATATGTCTCCTTTTCACAAGCTGTGAATTACAAATGGTAAATGGTTTTTTTTTTTTTTTTTTTTTTTTTTTTTTTTTTTTTTTTCTTTCCCCCCCCCCCCCCTTTTTTTTTTTTTTTTTTTTTACTTTTTTTTTTTTTTTTCCCTTTTTTCCCTTTTTCTTTGTGTTTTTTTTTTTTTTTTTTTTATTAAATCCCCTCCTTTTTAAAACCAAAACTCTTTTTTAAACAACAAAAAAATAATAAATGGACCTGTACAGCGCCTTTCTAGTCTTCTGACCACTCAAAGCGCGTTTACACTACGTGCCTCATTCACCCTTTCACACAGTGATGGCAAAGTCCATCGAACAGAAACTAACATTCATACACATTCACACACCGGCATCATGGGGTTCAGTATCTTGATCAAGGATACTTCGACATGTGGCACCAGGAGCTTGGGATCGAACCCACAACCTTCCAATTTAGGAACGACCCACTCTGCCTCTGAGCCACAGCCGCCCCCACAAAGAACTGTGACAACATGTAATCCTGCAAGTGGACCATTCATTGATAATACTGCGTAAGGGAGGCACAGAACAAACCCAGACCAGGAGGAGGAAATGTGTGTGTGTTATTTTGTCCGTCCACTGCTGTCTCAGAGGTTTAATCTAAGTTGTATGGCTCATGCACTTGGCATTAATGAGCTCTTTGTTAACATTTGGACGTGTATGTGTGCATTCAGTGCAGCACATTATCTTGCAGTTGTGCGTCTCTATGGGAAGAGCCATTACCATGGCAACACCAAGCAATGAGTATCTTTTAAAAGGCTGGGCTCCCCTCTCGCTCTCTCCCTCTCTCTACCACTGTCTCTCTCTCTCTCTTTTATCTGCTCTCAGGCCATTCTACCAAATGCACCCACAATAGTGAGCTGGGAGACAGAGAGGACAGCGCACCAGGAGGATTTCTTGATATCTGTTCAACAGAGTTCTTTATATCCCGCAGTATGCCTATGTGCTTTTGGTCTGTTAGAGAAGAGAGAATTTTGTCATTTTTACCACAGTGGGACATCTATACCCACTAGAACCTCTTTGTGATTTCAAGCAAAAGATACCTCGACAAAAAGATGCCTCCTCTGTGTATCTTATCTGGGAAAATGGATTATTGATGCTGCTTCTTTACTGACTGAGGCCTACCACTGAGGGTGATAGCTGGATATACACAGTCAGGTATTATCTCTTCATGCTGTTGGGCTTTATTATTACTTATTTGTGAAGGGAAATTTGATTTTTAAGGACATTTGTGGACTTGGCTGACTTTGTTCACAAAACAGGAAATGAGAATGTCAGAGAAGCAGTGGCATTTAAAGAATTATGTAATTGTCAGAAATGTCAGTGAAGATTTTTTATCCTCAGAGAAGACACAGGGAGCAGATGCTTTTGGATGTGGAAACAGTGAAGTCTGACAGGGAGGAAGATGAGGAGAAAGAAAGAGATTGTTTGCAGCAGTTCTCCCACTGCCCAGCATGCAACCAGGAGTATGACGTTGTGCTGATCCTGCCCTGCTCTCACACCATGTGTGGTCACTGTGTGGCAGCCGGAGAGGGAAGAAGGTCAGGTCAGCCTCGTTACCGTAGTGTCGGCCAACCTGACTGCTCTGTGCTGTGCCCAGGCTGCAGACATCCTGTGGAGCTGCCATGCTGGAACTGGTCATCTGCCACTTCCTGTCTCCCCAAACATCCCACACTGAGTCATGCATGCAGTGGTGAGACAGGCACCACGAAGGGAGGGTCTGAAGTTAACCATCACCGTGTGCAGGTGAGAAATCTGACCTAAGGAGAGAGAAATGTACAGTTGAAGCCTTGCAAAAAAGGCTAGAATGCTATAAAGAATAATAGTTTCAGCAAATTCAAACACTTAAAATGTCCTCATATCTGCTTCCAACTACATTACAGTGTGCTATAAACCATTTAATAAGTGTTTATATATAAAGGATAATACTAAACCTTTAATTAATTTATTAATTGTTTACTGTTATATGATCAAATTTAAATGTTACATTTGAAAAAACTGGGAATGTTGACAAACCATTTATCTATGCCATATGTTATATGCTAACAACAAACAATAGCAACAAATATCTCGATAACACGAGCTAATAGAGGTACTGTCAGGTACCTTTGGACAGATCCAAGCTAGCTGTTTCCTGCTAATCACCTTCCGACTGTAGCTTTATACTCACTCACAGATATGAGTGGCAAGAAAGCAAATAAGTGTATTTCCCAAAATATGAAACTATTACTTTAAGCCCAGAATCACCATCACTACTGGAAGCAAAAATACATTCTCTTTGGATACGGACCTTTCTGTGAAATCCATATAAATTTCATGTATTTGATACTTATTATTATTATTAATTGCTGTGCAAATTAAAATGTAGGAAGATTTACTTTCATTTCATGCAATCAATTTCATTCTATGTGACTTGTTTGGATTTACAACTTTTTCTTCTATTTTTAATTACATCCCACTGCTGTCACTATATTTAGGGGAACACATACTGCCGGCATGCAGGTGACATGACAGCACAGAGCAGTTCACATGGTGAGTATAGTGACGTAGTCACTGGTCCAGCCAGTTTGTAAGAATAAACCCATATGGTCCTCACTGTAAACATGGAAATCTACACTATTGTGTGCTCTCTCCCTATTTGACTCAGGCTCCAGTGCTGCCATTTCCTCAGTAGCCCCAGTGGAGGGCATTGTAGAGCTGCGAGAGGAGGAGATGGAGCAGTCTGTCTTTGGTCAGGAATGATATTTGATGCTTTTAATGCATAAACAAAATACATTTAATATAGGTTTATGTGCATCGAAGATAAGCGATATGGATTCATTTAATAAAAAGCCAAGAATATTCTCTTCTTCCATCCTCTGTTCACTTCTGGTATATCTTAGGACTATGTTTTTCTCTGGACTCGTCTACTGTCCCTCCATCCCTCCATCTTTCCAACTCCTCCCTCACCATCACCTACCATGGAGAGAGCCCTCCTGGCCCACCTCCAGACAACAAGGTCAGGAGATCAATGACTCCTGACCCCAGGGTTCTGCTGGCCCTCCCCCAGATCTGCGCTGATGTTGTCATTGCACGAGGACAGTATTACTGGGAGGTGGATGTCTGTAACAGCTCTGTCTACAGGATCGGTAAGAACTCTCTTGACTTTGTTTTGGTTGGTTCGGTGCCACTGTGTTTATGTTTCCAGAAACCCTCACTGTTAGTCAGCAAGACTGAGCCTGTTTAAGCCCACACCCGCATGTAAACACACACATCATCAGACACAATATTCATAGTGCCACCAAGTGGTTAGACCCTTAAAAGACCATTGATGATTGGTTAAGCAGCACTGGAAACAGTGATTTCCATTTTTCTTTTGTCAAATTACTTAAAAATAAAAATAAAAATAATAAAGTCGTCCTATTATCTGTAACTTGTGTTTAACTAACTAGAAACATTTCTTTTCATTTGTATCAGATATAAAGAACTGCCGCTTTACAGCTTTAAAAACATCTGATACCTCTCATTATTAGCCGTGGGCATGAACAGATTAATGATTTGAAATAATAAGTTTATATTAACTGATTTTAGTCATTAAAGTCTTGATATTGTGCCTGTCCACATTAGCATTGTCATATTCGTGCCCTTATTCTTCTTCTGGATTATCTGAATGTGTTTGAATCCACGTCATCAGCTGCTTCAGAAAAGTCTCTTTTGTGTCATCTAACAGTCATCAAAACCCCCACATTATCAAAAAGTGAACCTGAAACCCTTTTGCTGCACCACCATGTAACTGTAACTGTAAGCTAAGAGAGAGAAAGTTCTTTTGACTGCGTTAATTCCTATAATCAGTGACACATCGTCACCAAGCAAGAAAACAACATTGTTTATATCTACCTGCTATTACCTGCATACAGTGAGAAAGAAATGAGACACTCGAACAATACCTCGGGTCTCTAATCACTCTATAAACTCTTTGGAGGAAAACAATAGAGTAAGACTAAAAGTCTACAGCCAGGCGAGTGGCTCTCAGGCTGTATTTAGGCACTCAAAGTACTGTGTGTGTGTGTGTGTGTGTGTGTGTGTGTGTGTGTGTGTGTGTGTGTGTGTGTGTGTGTGTGTGTGTGTGTGTGTGTGTGTGTGTATGTGTGTGTTTGTGTGTGTGTTTTGAGTTAAATTCTAATGTCAGTATGCTAACTTGCTCACATTGACAATGTTAACATGCTGATGATTAGGTATAATGCTTATCATCTTAGAGCTTTAAAGTAATTTCCCCCTGGGATTATTAAAGTATTTCTGATTCTGATTCTGATTTAGCAGTTTTGCAGGTATTTGTTCTTAAACCAAATTACTGGACAAACTTCGACCAGGTGATGGCACTAGATATAAAGTTAAAGGATCACCAAAGATATTACAATTCATCCCATTGACAGTTTATAGTTAGTGGACAGAGAGAGGTCAACGCAGAAGTGTCTTAACCCTGTATTCTTTCTAATGGCCAGCAGGGGGCAGCTCCAAAGGGCTGCAAAAAAGAAGTCCAACAGAACAGAGCCTTATAGAGAAATGACCCTATTGCTCACTTGATGTATTAGTTCAGTGAACAGTTTCCTAGTGTGTTTATGGTCTCACTAGTTTGTTCCATACAGCATGATGTTTATTTGGTAGATTTTGGTCCCATTTAGAGTAAAATAGACGTATAGGGCGTTGCTACCTTGTGATTGACAAGTCATTCTCTGTGAGTCTGTTCAGCTCAACACATGAAACTCAGATCAAACTGTTAAACTAGGCAGTGCTGATCAAATATGAACCAAGATTCTGTTACTGTGACCAGGTGACCAGGAAATCCACCATTGTTTTCTTCTGCTACGGACGAGTTCAAGCATAGTAAGTGAGTGCTGCTCAACGCTCAGTACGCCACCACTGATGGCTGCTATATAAGCCATAATGCCAAACTCAAGGCTTTGAAAATAGAACACCCCGGCCTATGGGTGACATCACAATAGGTCCACACATCCTGAGGGGAACATAGGTACCAAAAGAAATGGAATAGTTGTCAAGACATTTCACTCAAAAACAAATATGTCAACTTCATGGTAGCGCTAGAGGGAAACTCCATGCACTCCATCCAACTGTTGCTGAGCTCTGGACCAAAGTGACCAACCCACTGACCTTGCCATCCTTAGACCCATGCCAATAAAAACAATGATTCATTTGTCAAATTGTTGGGCTAACAGAATAAAATATAGGAATCATTCAGATGTATTATGGTCGCAGAATCTTTAAAGAGTTGAGAGTTCAAAGGTTAACAATGTTGTTACAGTGGTTTGTAAAGGTTGCAAATCCAAACATGAACACAGTGAATATTTCACTTTTCTGTTTCTCTCAGGTGTGAGCTCACTGGATGGTTCTGGGGGCTGGTGGCTCCAAAGGCAGGGTTTGTCTTTTTGTGCAGTGTATGATGGGAGCCAGGAGCCGCTCTGCACTGTCCCACCTCAGATCAAAACCCTTGGGGTCTTCCTTAACATCGGTGGAGGCACCCTGAGCTTCTACAACCCTCTGACCCAGGAGCACATAGCCACGCTTCCTACCCGCTTCCACTCTGCTGGAGTTCTCCCGGCTCTGGGCCTGGGCCAGGGCCGACTGAGGCTGCGCTGCGGCCTCCCCCCTCCTCCTCACGTGTTTCTTAGTAAAGACTCTGCATACAGGGGGTCTTGTGGGGCTGGTGGAGGTCGGTGGCGCAGGGAGATTCCCTTCCAGTCAGTGAGGAAAGTGATACAGAAGTTTGAGGAGTTAGCTGTGTCAGACTCAGACTCAGGCCTGGTGTCCAGTTTTGGATCATCATGCTCCACCTTAGTTTCCCTTCCAGATCTGAGGATTCCTGGAATGTTTCCCTCTGGGCAAGCAGGACAGGAAACTGGGGCTGAATAAGAACAGCTTCTGAAAGTCTTCAATGGGAGCAGCAGCTCTTCTGAGTGGCTTGATCTTTGGCTGTCATTTGAAAGGCTAATTTTTCATCTTGAAGGACTTTTGGCTGCCTCTTTCCACTCTCTGCGTGACCCCGGACCTGCAATTGACTCTCTCCCCAGGACACGGCCCTTTCTCTCAACCAAACAACCCCCACTGGTTTGGGATCGGGCCAGAAAGAGTCCTCTGTAATGTGAAGTGTGAGGAAAGGGTGGGCTTTTAGCAGCGGGACTCCTTGATTTGTCTATGTGGGACAGTTGTCAGACAGTAGGGGTCCTACAGTAGTAGTGCGCATGTTCCTATATGTGTGTATGTGGGCACAAGCACTACTCTGAGTATGTGTGTGTGTGTGTGTGTGTGTGTGTGTGAGAGAGAGAGAGAGAGAGAGAGAGAGAGAGAGCAAGAGGGAACATTGTACAAGTGACAGGGGGTGATGACAAGGTGTGAGTACAGTCACACCAGCGGTGTTGACTCAGAGCGGCGAGGACAGGTGGTAACATGCGTTTATCCCGCGGCCTGCCTTCGATAGGACAGTAGGCCTGCCCTTTTCTGACCCTTTGAAAACCACAGGACTCCCATGGACTTCAAAAGGCGCGACAGAGAGCGGGAGAACAGAGAGGGAGAAAGAGAAAACAGCATGCATGAATTAAAGACAGCAGGTGATGACCTGGTAAAAAAGAAATGAGCTGAGAGAAGGATTCCCAACTGCTTTCATGCCTAGAAGCTCTGAATAGATCAACCGGCTCAGGCCACACCATCTGAGAACTTGTTTTAAGGTAGAACTGAGCTGCAGAAGCCAGTAGTTTACACTAGAAGTGGTGAGATTACAGGGTAGTGATAGAGCGGCATTAGTTGTCTTGGCACACTGAGTGATGAAAGTTTTTCAGTCAAGCACATGTCATTTTATCGGTCCAAAGTTGAATACAAATGTGTGTTTTAATGCCTCTGTTTGCTGAGGGTTTTCTCTGCAACTAAGACCTTCTCTTGTGTCTCCTCTTCATTGGCTTTTAGCTCCACACCCCTGGTTTTGCATGTTAGGCACAGATTCAGTTTGAGCGATTCTGGCAAAGGAAATCCTGAAAGTATAAACTTTTCCTCATTTTCTCCTCAATCCCTACGGCTCCAAGCCCCATTTGAAGAACCACTGGTGCCGAGGACTATTTATACTTGGCATGGCCGATGTTCATATAGTCTCCCTGTTGTGACCACTTGACTTATGATTAAGTAATCCCGGCCCTATTGAAGAATCCCCTCCTGCCCCACCTTCTCCTTTCCTGTCTGTCTTTCAATGACTGTGTTTGCCTTTTTGGAAGGTGTAATCTCCAAGTATTTAGTCAGACCACCCAAACTGTAAATCTCATTGTAAGAATCAGAAAAAATCCTAGCAATTAAAACAAGCATCAGTCAGAAGCAGCACTGCAGGGGCACTTTTGAGGACGGGTTGCAGTGGAGTTAGGCCAATTTTCCATTGAGCATCATTCATTTCATGCATGCACGAAATCAGTTAAGCAGCGGGTCAGACTCAGTAATAAGCGATGAGTCAAAGAGAGGCTTGTTAGACTGTCGCCTCTCAGACCACTCATCAGGATGACTGTGTGTTGATGTTTAACAGTCGAGGTATTTACCGCGCGAGTAAAAAATGCGTGTGCCGTGACCGCTGTTGGCGCAGCTCTCTCTGCAGATCTATTACCAATAAAGTGTGTGGAAGCAATTTGACTCTTGTAAACAGAAATGAGAGAGGCGTGATGCAGATTTCAAAGGGCCGGGAGGAGAGAGAGGGGGAGTTTGCCAGGAAGGATGGATAAGAGTTGAAACGCTCTGTGCCATGTGTGCGTATTTGGCAGTCTCTACTGTATGTAGTCTGGCTTTCTGTACATGAACTGTATAGCAAGGTGCAGTGGTGGAATTTAACTCTTTATTTAAGTTTGAAAGTTTCCATGTTATGCTTCTTCAAGATATTTATTCATATCTGGCACTGCACTGTATTTTTTTATTCTCCAGTCTAATTTGTTTATTTGTTATATTTTCTTATTTTTCTCTTCTATGTGTCTGTATATTGTCGTTTGTCTCTTTTATGTTTTGTCTTAGTGCCTTTATATGTCTTCGAGCACTTTGAATTGCCTTGTGTTTTAAAAAGGTCCAATAAATAATGTCGCCTTGTCTGTATATGTCTACTCCATGATATTTCAAAGGGAAATATTGTACCTTTTAGCACTCCAAACATTTATTATAGATAACCTAACCTTTTAGGAGCTTATCAAATACAATGCATTGCTGTTGTTGAAGCTCCAGTGTGAGGGTCCAGAAATACATTATAATATTCATAGGTGTGTATATTCATTAGTGTATAATCACCTGAATATATATAGGAATTTTGGTTACCTTAGAATCAGCCATTTTTACAACAGTCCACCATGTTGAACCACCATGTTTCTACAGTAGCCCAGAAGGGACAAAACGAACACTGGCTCTAGATAGGGGCGTTTGTGTTTTTTGAGTTTTTTGCTGCCACCATAGTTTCTCCTTTGCACTCGGAAGGTGAGGGTGAAGTGACGGAGTAGCAATCTGCAATTACACTGCTACATATATCTAAATCCTACACACTGGACCATTTAATTAAAGCAGCAAAACCACATAGTAAAAATCCTGTAAGTACATTTACTTGCAATAAAATGGCCCCATTATGAGTGTGTATAATCATATAACTCATAAAATACTAATTAGGGTTGCATTATAATCATAATGTTAATGCTGTAGTTTGTGAAGATAAAGCCAATTTGAACTATTTTATATATTGTTGGATAGTTCAATCTGTAACAATGCATCATATTTTATATACTGACAGTGGTGGAGAAGTATCCAGATCCTAAAGCAAAAGTAGCAATACTGCATTATAAGTAAGTCTTTACTCAACAGCCCACTTAGATAAAGGTACAGTAAGTGTATCAACTAAATGTACTTCAAGTAATAAACTATCATTATCCAGCAGAATGTCAGTGTTATAATGTTATATTACTGCATTAAAATTATTATTATTACTAATGCATTAAAGTGTAAGCAACATTTTACTGTTGTTGTTGTTGGCCAAGGTAGGTGGGGTGATTTTAACTACCTTATATACACACTGGACCTTTAAGGATCTGAATACTACTTCCACCATCACTTTCTTGCAGTTATATCTGATTTCCTACAACATAAAACACCTTATATTTTCTTATTTTTCTCTTCTATGTGTCTGTATATTGTCGTTTGTCTCTTTTGTGTTTTGTCTTGGTGCCTTTATATGTCTATGAGCACTTTGAATTGCCTTGTGTTTTTAAAAGTACAACAAATAATCTCGCCTTGCCTGTAAATGTCAACTCCATAATATTTAAAAGGGAAATATTGTACCTTTTAGCACTCCAAATATTTATTATAGATTACCTACAACACGTTTTAGGAGCTTATCAAATACAATGCATTGCTATTGTTGAAGCTCCAGTGTGAGGGTCCAGAAATAAATAAAAATAGCTTATCAGGAAGCATTCAGACTTAAAATATAGTAACAGTCTGTCACCTGTTGCTCCACTTTGTCTCCATCTCTTTATATTTATTGCTGGCAAATGTTGGAAGGCTTCTTCACCTACATTGGCCTTCTCCCCAAGGTGTCAAAATAAACCAAGCACGCCCTACAACAACCATGCCCAGTACATTTGGAGATGACCTCTGCCCGCTAATTGCCTTCAGTGATTATTGTCACACACTCTCCATCATGGATCCCGATTCGGAAATAGCGACGGTGCGAAGGTCCGCTTTTCTCTCTGAAGTTTCGACTGTGTCTGCGAATTGATTCCGTTTGTATGAATAAACATCAACTCTGCAAGACATCTCCCATTTGCATATTGAGTGAGGAAGGGCCCAGTCGCCCTTTTCCGTTGCCGGCAGCAGCACAAAATTAGCTTTACAACTGAGCGGGCCGCCTCTTATTACCATCATTATCGGCATCAGCATAACAGTGGCTGTAAAAGCATCATGCACTCCTTGTTGTGAGGCTCTGTCAGCTTTTACGGCTCGCTCTGAGCTACATCCTGCCTTTAACTGATGTGCAATGGTACTGTTAGATGAAGATTGCTCCTCCTGTGGTGGGACAAAAAAACAATAACATGGGATGCAGTTTAGGTCAGTGCTCTGGATGTGATTATTTTTGGCGTCAAAGATAATTTTCCAACATCTCTGAATGAGTTACCTCCTTCAGATGTCTGCCCACGATAGAATAACCTGAAATACGCACATAAGTTAGGAATGCGACGGTACATGCGCAATTACGACTAGAGTGTGTATCATGGCTTCTCTAAACATGAGTCAGAAATAATTGGGTCTTTATGATGCATTTGCAGCAGATTAATACAGGAGAGCTGGAGGGTCGCATATACTTTAAACAGAGTTTGCTCTATGAGCTATATGGGAACCTTTGGGTGCCATAAATCCTATTAGAAGGGGTCTCTGATTTACCGTGATTTATTTAACGTGATTTACTGCCCTATAGCTGAACATGCAAATGAATGCATAAAGAAGCAGCTTTTATTTCTTTTTACCTTTTTCATTTTAACAAATCACAAGACTATTTAAGTCTCACTGTCATGCTTGTTAGTGCAGCAAAGCTTCCATGTGATGTGGAACACGTGGTGTGTGTGTGTGTGTGTGTGTGTGTGGAGAGAGAGAAAGGGGGGGGGCACATCTGCCAGGCTATCAGAGCTCACTGGCTGAATATTCACACCTCCCTGTCCGACCAGCAAACAGGATGCGGTCCCCTGTGAGTGTGCGCTGTGTAGTCAGACAGACAGATTAAGGAGGGGTGGGGGGGAGGAGGAGGAGGAGGAGGGGGTGGGGAGGGTGATACTGTTAAACAACCCCGAGTTTATGACCTGCAAGCCGGCGCGTCTGACAAACAAGAGCAAATACACAGCGCCGGTGATGGAGAGTGAAGTGTCCATGTGTGTATCCATCCAGCTGCACCATTATGCCATTATGGATGATTTACAGCCGATACCCTCCTCTCCCACACACGGGGCGCGCGCGCGCACACACACACACACACACACACACTCCCTCGGCATGTATGAGAGCAAATTTCGATAATGTCCTTTTAACGATGTCACATTTGGGTCTGTAAAAATCTGTTGTTGCATGTTTCTTCCATGCATGCCAGCAGTGTTTCATATCGGGTTATTGCGTTCTCCCCAGAGAGGTTCCTGGACTGTGGAGCGACGTTTTAAAAATGAAAAGGAACATTGCGTCTGCTTCTAATTGTGTCCTGGTCGGAGGAGTCCTACTTCTGCTCAGAGTCATAAAGCGCTGTCCACGGTTAATCGATTTTTGGGGGGCTGTAATGTTCCGTGGCATATTAAAGATGACTTCAGAGTTCACTCTTACTCTCCTATTGCTCCTCTCCCTCTCTCTCCTGCAGAAGCAACGAGATCTGTAGGGATATGGGTCCATTTAAGATGAATGTATTGTTTTTATGAAGAAAAAGCAACTTTAATTAATAAAATATTATTTGTGTGATGGGTAAGATTGTCTTCAAAATGGAAGTCCTAGAACTCAGTGGAGTCCAAGGATCTGCCAAATTATACTCATATCTCATTCATTAGGCTACTATGTTGTATAAAAAAATGTCCAATAATATATAAATGTTTATTTAAAAAGAAAAGGATACTTTTGGAACTAAAAAGTCCGAACTTCGTTAGGAAATCTGGCAATTAAAGGTTGTTGGCTCATGTGCTAAGGTAAATGATTACAACCCTACTTCTTAAAACATTTCCCCCAAATCCGTAAGGAATACTCTTGCATTCGGCGAAGACATAAAGCATCTCCCCTCTGCCATTTCAGTCAGATCTCACCAAAATACCATAATGCTTGGAGCAGAGTGGATGTTTTGCGTGAGGGGTCGCCGATTGAATAATGGCCTCATATGCAGGAGGTATGTTGCATCATAATTTATTTGTCATACTGTCTTATAATGAACAAAGCTTGGAGCCCTCGCTGAGAGTCCGTTTCTAAACATGCGCTGGACGCCTCCAATACACAAAAACGCTGCAGTCATTTTCCCCAGAGGGACTACGAGTGGACCAGGTTTTGTTAGCTCCAATAGACAATTTACCATCCAGTCTGCTTAATGAATCACCGTGTGCAGCGCAGAAGAAAAGTGTCGCTTATCACCCTATGATGAAGTGTAAACAGGCCATCATCGACTCCCATTGCTCATGGGGGGTGGGGGGGGTGGCGTGAATCTCCACACCCGGATGGAAGTGGCTCCCACAGGCCACATAATGTGACACAATAATAACACATTGCGCTCGCACCCCGGCCTGGACTTTTGGCACGGTACCGATTAGATTTGGCACTCTTTTACGCGTCGTTTTAGTGTAAAAACTAAAAAAAAAAAAAAAAGAGGGACTCCTGGGTGAGGCGATCAGTAGCCTGTGTGTGGACTAAGTAGGCCAGAGATCTAAATTGAGTACACAAGTACTGCCGTCCCTGGTGGTTCTCAAAGTGGGGTCTGAGATCATTTTATTCTCAAAGGCACTATTTTGAGCATGTTCTCTAGATTATATGTAATAAAACATAAATGGGGTTACATATACAGTAAGCTTGGCAACATTAACATAATCATTACATACAATTATAATATCAAAAATCTCCAATCAATCTCTCCTTTATTCCAAACATCTCAGCCATGTAATAAGCCTGACCTCTGCTGAACTCACCGAAATCAATCATCCATGAGCACCACTACAGTAACGTAAACTTGAACCACAGAGCGTTTGTTCTGGCCCCCAAGGGACTGCTATGAGGAACTGGACTGTTGCTCAACTGCTCTGCTTTGTTTGATGGGAACATTTCCCAGATCTAAATAGGCCCTAATAAATTTCATTTGTTGTTGATGCAATGAAGCGCCACACAGGCCACAGTGAGTTTTAAATGATTTGGGGTTAAATATCTTTTGGCACCTGTATCCATGTATGAGGGCCTAGAAATGTAACGTAAGTCATAATAAATGGGATTTTAAGTGGACTCGTCCAGGTAGGCTTTTAAGGAATCCAAAAGAAACAGTGTGAGGTCTGAAAGAGGACAGAGGTTTACAAAGGGCCAGGACAAATTGAAACTGGTTGCCTTGAGGTATTCCAAC